TAATCCAGCTTGGAAGCAAGCCTTTCAAACAGTAAAGTACAGGGTTTTCATCAGGTTCGTGCAGAGAGAGAGACACAAACACAGAGCAGTAAACTCTTATCTGACTGAACCTTGAAACGAGACAGTGGCCATCAGTGAGATCACTGGCAGGGAGCAGGAGTCAGTGTGCACAAGAGGATCAAGTTCAGGACCTGCTTCAAAGTAACCCACAAACAGTATTTAGATGAGCAGGATGTTGCAGTGGGACAAGACATAAGGGGGATTCTTCAGATGCAACTGTGGTTTTCACCCAACAACATGTGCTATCCTTCTGTTTGAAAGTTGGAGGTTTGCAGGTTTTATATTGTAAGACTTTATGTGGTTTTAATCTTGGACTGAATTACTGACTGGAATCTTTCCAGGATGTAGACGGTAGAGCAGAAGTGAACCTGTTGAATACAAACGGTTGTCACTTGGGCAGAACATTGTGGTCTCTTTTTTCGCAAGTCAAAAGTTTATATCCCTACTATTTGCCTTTTTCACATCAGACATTTTGAGTTGTCATAGCAGGGAAAGCGCAGGTGTTTGCTAATAACAATCACAATGTCATGTTTCCAACTATGTTATGCAGTTATGAGGAGCTGGTTGATCGATATAAGCAGTAGTTAACCACAATTCTCCAGTTGGTAAAACAGAGAAAGAGGGCCCAACAAGATGACATAATTCGAAGAGCACCAGTCAAATCTCAAACTGTGAAAAACAATGCAGAAAACAGGATGGAAATATGACATTTCAGTTAGTTTCTTGTATTAATGTGACTGTGAGGAAGGTTACATCAGATCTGTGTGGAGTAGAGCTGCAACTAAAAAGTTTATTTTCATTTACGAATAATCAATTAGTTGTTTGGTCCATAAAATGTCAGAAACTAATGAAAAATGTTGATCACTGTTTCCCAAAGCCAAGTGAGATGTCCTCAAATGTCTTGTTTTGTCCACAACCCAAAGATATTCAGTTTACTGTCATAGAGGGCTGAAAAAACCAGAAAGCATTCACATTTAAGATGCTGAAAGAATATGGACATTTCTTTCTTAAGGAATTAACTAAGGCAATTAATCAACTAATCATTGCAGCTCTTGTGTGTTTGTTTCCTCCTCCTCTAACTATAACTCCCATTGTGTATTTCAGTAAAAATGCACCACTAACACCAAGTACAAGTATTTTGAAATTGCCGCAGCTGTGATTCGTCCTTCGTCCTCGCTCGTGGGTATCTAGAGCCTTCTGCAACTTTCTGTACTTTAGGTGACTGTTGTTTTTCCTTGAACCACCTTCATTAACTGTACCTTTAGAGTTTACTACTCTATAACTTTACTGTGGATCAGAAGCTGTGTACATCTGGGCCCCATCACAGTAAGTGCCTGTGATGGGGCCCATCTGTAAAAAATGAACTTTTCAGTACAGAAATGAACCTCAGTTTTTTTTAGAAAATAGACAATTAACAAAGAGCCATTCTGAAAAATACTGATGTCCTTCTCTGGGGCTCAAACGCCACATCCACAGAGAAGAAAAGGATTGAAATTCCTCCCCGCAGGAGAGAGTGACATCATTGCGTGTAACACCAAATTAGAGTCCTCGTTTTGAAGCTATATGCTCAGTGTTCCATGGTAAGTAGATTAAATCTGTTCACGGGGCTGATGGCTCTTTCCCAAACAAACATTCCTCCAAAGAGTTATCAGAAAATGTGCCCTGAGCCAAATCTTTCTCCCTCTCCCTTATCGTTCTCCTCCTGCGACCAGTCAGGCTGACAGCCGCCCATCTGACAGACAGACTACACATTTCTCCTGACACATTACATCAAATGCAGCCCATAAAAGGCAAAATCACACAGAAATGTCAGCATGTATTGTTTCCACTAAGAGGAGTAATCCAGGGGACCAGAGGGAAAGACATGGCTTGTGATTTTAAGAGACAGATTTAGAAGAGTCCAGACTTAATGTGAAGATTCAGACCCTCTGCAGTCCCCTGTGTTTGTGTTCTCTGTTGCAGGGATGGGATTAGATCAAATATGAGCAGGGTATTTATAGCCAGTGACATTTAGGAGATAAAGGTAGTGTAGCAGGATGGGTGGAATGTAGAGACTGGAGTTGCAATATTACAGATACTGTGTGGCAGGAGGATTACCTCACCCACTGGCAGGAAGTAGCCTACAGCAGGCTGGATATGACTTCTGCCCCCAGAGCAAACATATGCACTGCACAGGAGTCTTACAGGATTATCTGATCTGCTTCAAGTGAAGTTTCTTTGATGCAAAAGTTCAAGTTTCTAAGAAAAGAAATGTTACACATATGCACCCATACAGAAAAGAAATGTCTTGAAACACCACTTTTTCCTGCAGTTCTTGTGATGAAGGGAACCACAAAACAAACAGCTTCAAACAGGGGGGGAGAACTCAACTGTCCCTGGAATTTATCACCTCCCATCCTTCACTGTACTGTAAAAAATGTTCCAAGGCTTTGCAGCTCCTTGCAAGCAAAATAACTGAAGGTAAATATTTAAAGCCACAACATATTTCCCCACTGAAATGCAACTCAGTCAGACTACAAACAGCCTCCACTTGGAGAAAAGAAAAACTCCACCTGTCTCTGGAATTTATCACCTCCCATCAAGACTGAACACTTCTTATAAATCACCTTAATTCAGGTCCCACGGGATCCTTCCTGCAGGCAGCCAGAAAATCTCATCAGAGACACATTTTAAAGTCTTACCTCATCAGTAGTGAGGACATAGTAGATCCTTGTGGATTTGGCTTCAGGTATGTGACAGTCGTGGTCAGGTGCCGTTTTGCACCCGTATCATGGTGTGAAACGTCGCGGCTCAGATGCACAGTGCATCCCAGCTGCAGGCTGCTCCGACACACGGGTTTCAGACCCAGCACCATCCATATCCCTCTCTCTCCTCTGGGCTTCTCCGTCCTATTCTTCTTCTTTTCTTTCTTTTTTTTTTAAGTGAAACTTTAAAGGAACTTTTTTCTCACTTTCAGCTGCAGAGCTCGTCCATCCAAACAGCTGTGTTACTCAGTTCCCAAAACGCATCACATCACTTTTGTCTTTCGGGACGCGCAAAGACGCATCTCCTGCTGGATTCAGGTGCAAAAAGTTCCGTTTTCTATTCCTTCTTTACATTAAAAACCACCTGTTGTGATTCACGCAGGTACTGCACATTATTCCAGATTTAAAAAAGTTAACTTGTCTGCATAAAAGTCTTACTATCGCCTCCAGACAGGTGATTTCACTTGTGCCCAGTCCTGCACGGATAAAACCCTCCTGTGTCTGCGGGTAGCTCCACTTGTTGTCTCTTCGCCTTTTGACCTTCCTCTCGGTCCAGACAGGTCCAATGTGCGCACAGGGCGGCAGGGACGCCTGGTAGAAAGCACAGAGAGCCACCGGGCAGCGCTCCACCAGTGCATAGGCTGAGTGAGCGCGGGGCGGTCGGTGTGTCGGTCGGTGTGTCGGGTGTCTCTCTCCCTCTCTCTCCACCTGAGCGATGCATTCCTGCGATGAACACGCCTCTCTCCTCCAATCGCAGCGCAGCAGCTCCTCTGAAGTCAGGAGGTGACACAACGTTTCCTACAGCGACCATGGAGGTGAAGAGGAGCTGCTCTTCAGTGCTGGAGGATAAACTCCCAAAAACTTAAACTGAAACAACAAAATATTAACTTCATGGAAACCAGGTGTTTGTACAGTGAGTAAAATGTACCCAAGGACCAATAATGAGTGAAGAATGATTATTAATGCATCAACACAATAATCCAAAACTGGAGGTAAATTCATAAAAAATAAACTTAAATGTTCCAGTTTTGAGAAGAGTTGTTTGATGATTCACGGGATGTATGGATTAGTAATCAAACTGAAGCAGGTTTATTTTGAAGCTCCTCAATATTTTGGACATATATTTTTACTTGACAATATTATTCTATAATCTGATGAATATAAAATCTTACTCTGCAACCATCAGATAAATAAAAGCAAAAAGAAATGTGCCTTTAATATCCATAAAGGTGTTGTATTCAGATACCACTGTGTAGGGCATTTTGGGTCTGCTCTGACACATAGGTTACACTTCAGGACAAAAGTTAGTGTAGAAACCTAACAAATGCTTCCATATAGGAGCCTAGGTATCACTGAATGGTGTGATTCATATGGTTTGTCCAGATGTCAGTTGAACACCTGTGGGACATTTTGCGGTGACATGTCATTTCACCACCATCATCCAGCTGGACAACTGAAGATACCTTGTTGTTTTTTTACTTTAATGTATCACCTGTCTGCATATATACTATAACACCTTATGTAGTGTAGAGGCATTAACAAACATTAACATCCATGGTCGGATTAACCAGCTAGCACCATATAAACGCACAATCATCCCTCTTTCTGTGCAATATATACAGTATACAGCACTGCCTGGTCTCAGGTAGGTGCAGCAATCTGATTAAACACATGACTTTAGGAATATGCAGCACAGAGCCAAAACAAAAACAAGGATCTTGAATCTAGAATTTCTTTATTAAATTAACACAAACAAGACCACTCACAGCAAGAGTGGCATTTTCAGGGCCCCGGGGCCAGTTTCCCACATGACCAGGTTAGTAATCCAGCCTTGCCTGCTACTCCCAAAAGAGGAGGAAATTATAAATAACTATGTATTTGCTAAAGTAAGTCATAGAGTGTCTATGTAAAGTTTATATTTATCATACTTATGGTATTTTGCAGTGCTTGTGGCAGTTTACAGGGACCTTAATGACTGTTTTGGTATATTATAATCTCCTATCACATTATTGTTAATTTAACATTCCTACAGGGACTTAATGTATTTTAGATTTTCAGAGTTCAGTGTTTGTTCACACACACACACACACACAACACACACACACACACACACACACCTACTTCCAGCTTCTTTCCACCATCATATCTTTCAGTCCCACCTGCATCCTGCTACCTTAGTCACTCTTTCCTAATTTCTTCCCGTCTATGTGCTTTCATCTTGCTGTGTGACTGCACTGTTTCACCAGGCAACCGCTTTAGGGAGAGAGACCTCATCTACATGTCAGGACACCTTTCTGTGTTAATCACTCAGTAGCAGCTATCCTTTCTCACAAGAACGTCTAACACGTCCTCTTTTTTTGTAACTCTATCCTTCTGGCATCTCCTTTTTTTTCACTGAGCTTTACATTTGAAGTATCCTCTTAGCAGGTATTGTTTCACATTTTGTGATGTATGAGGCAGCAACATGCAGGTCATCTCCAGTTTCTAACACTGCCTGTCCAACAGTACAAATGGGACGACTTAGTGATGGTGAAGCAACCACGGGGCCTTTCTGTGAACTCTGTCTCCACCTCAGCCATCTCAGTCCCTTTAAGCTCAGCCAAGGAGGAGACAATTCATCTGTGCTACAGTTTCAACACGCAACCTTGAACTATCATCTGGAGCCGTGCAGACATAACAGAGGAAACAAGACATTAGTTTCTCCACACAGAGCCGCAGAGGTGTTAATGTTATCTGAGAGCCTTCGCTGTGATCTCAGTCATCAGTTTCCTTTACTACTAGTTAGCTTGTTTTTGACCACACGGGGTCATGTTGCTAGTGTAAATATTATGCTGAATCAGACCACTTAGCAGTACACAGGATGTGATGTTGCAGTCATTTGAAGCCCATTACAGATGCCAAAAGAATGATTTACAAACCGACAAATGTTGACTTGCTGACAACATGAGCCTGCAGCGCCATAAATCTACAGGAGCACCAGACAGGCAGCAGCAATCAGCAGAGCGTGGTTACAGAGAGCAGGTTCTTCACAATCCGGTGGTCTTGTCTTCTCAATAACATGTGTTTGTGTAACCAATGTGTTCTTTTAGTTTGTTATATGTCACCAAAAATCCATCCCCGTTGTATAATTTTGTTTATTTTATTCTGTATACGAACCCGTTTTTGTGGTGTATTTTATTTTGGTACCTTTTAATTTTGTTTAATTGTATTTTGGCGGTGTGACCGTTGACCTGTTGGTGATGTCACTTCCTGCGCTATGCTGAGGCGACGACCTGAGGCTCTAGTTCAAAATGACCTAAAAACGCTAAATAGAGGTTCTAATTTTACTTTATAACTGTCACTAGTTTTGTTCTTTGTTATGG